TGGTCCCGTGAGGCCGAGGGGCCACAGATGACTTCATGGTGGGACTGTAACAGTCAATTTGATTGGCTCGTTCCAAGGACACGATGCTTTGTGATCCAACGCTCACGTCAGCCACTAAACTCAAACCCTCGCCTCTCAACTTCCAGTGATTTAGCAGGTAGATGCTCCAGTGACGTCCTCCTCAGGACTTGTGTGCAAATGTTTCATAATTGGATCCAATGAATCCGATTAGTTTGACTAATTCCCTTGTTTGTTCAGGAGTGAGTGAGCGTGAGCCAAGCAGAAAGTCAAAGTGGGCATAACATTGAGTGATTGATCGGAAATAATGCTCATGGACAAAGGAGGTGATTGTGTTGCTTGATATCTCCAGGAATTATGAGTCAGAGTCTTCATGTGATTACATTATGCAGGAAGAGATGGAGGCTGGAGCCAACATGAGCTTTGAGTTGATGTTTGCTGGTATGAAAACTCATATGTTTCGATTTTACATTAAATATATATTCTTTGTTCGTGTTGTTTATTTTATGTTGTATTTGTCTTTTCTTCTTATTTACAGTGAGTTATTATCTCTGTCGTTAGAGTTTAATCACAACATCTCAGGAATCACCGACAATCAACGACTGAATTTTCTCTTCGGTTCCAGATCCAGAATATTTGTTAGTACCAGGGAAACGAGTTCTCAGTGTGAATCTGTCGTGATGCTGCAATGATGTTCGATAACGTATCGTAGTTAAATTAAATCTTATTTCTGTGTTAATATGTTTAAATATGTAAATAATGCAAAACAATACTTAGCAGCAGGACACCACATCAGCATAATATGCCGTCCTCCGTCATTCTGGTGCAGACACACACACGCACACACACACACACTCACACACACACACGCACACGCACACACACACGCACACACACTCACACGACCACATAAGGTGAGGATCTTCCCGGTCAAACACCACGTTCTGCATGATCAGCGGATCCCAAACAGCCTGAATATCCTTCTCTCTCCTGAGCCGTCCCACAGCGGGGGGGCGAGGGGGGGGGTGAAGGTGCTGGAGGAGAAATCCATCACTCCCAACACGGCTCCTGACGGGATCACAGCTAACGCCTGTGAATCTGACCTGCTGTCTGGGCAAGGGGTGGCGTCGGGGTCGAGAGAGAACGAGAGAGAGAGCACAGGAAAAATGACTTGAGATTTCTGACGGGCTGCAGCTTCCCTCTGTCGCTCTGTCCCTCTGTCCCTCTGTCCCGTGTCCCTCTGTCCCGTGGCAGCATCATGAATACGGAAGGAGGCGAGCTGAGAGAGTGGGACAGGAAGTGAGAGTGATGGTTGATTCTAATTTGTCCAGCAACAGACCGGGAACCAAAACAACAGACCTGTAACTTTGGATTTATCACAAAACGCTGGAACATTTAAATGAGTTTCATTTGAACACACCAGAGATATTTCACGGTTTCTCTGCAGACCGACTGTGAAGCTGCTTCCAAACGTCCTCTTTCCTCTCGTCCTTTGTGACTGCAGTCATTAACGTGCTGCTGCTGTCCTCTTCCCACTAATGTTTGCATATCGCCGAGCAAATTAACTGTCAGAATTGCATCGTCTGCACTCTCTTTATCGAATCTCGCCGGCAAATTGGTTGTTAGGAATCCTCAGGGGTGGTATCGGCATCGGGAGCCCAGCGGGACTGAGGCTCCGCTGGGCCGAGGGAGGGATTAATGTAGAGAGAGGCTGTACAGGTGGGCCGCTCTCATCATTACTGACATGACCTTTAGTCACAGAAGAAAACATCCAGCCAGGGCCCAAACGAATCAGCTCGTCCAAAATAACCAACTTCCATTTTAAGGACTCGTTGTTGCTCCATTGATTTTATATTAATTTGCAATAACCGATCTTTTTGGCCACTGAAGAGTGAGTGAGGCCGAAAACATCAGAGCAACATAATCATTCATGTGGACTCGTGTTTGTGTCACGTGATGAATGTGTTTGTTCTCCACCGTCTCCTGAGGGAACATCAGTGTCCACCAGCTGCTTCAAAGATCCTAACACACTGCAGACGACGACGTCTCACACACGTAAAACATTTCATTAAAGAAAGTCGAAAATAAGAGACGGTGGATCACTCCTTCCCCCGTCTGCCTTTTGAAACAGGATGTACCTTATATGAAGCCAAAGGTCTCTTGATCGCCCCCTGGTGGCTGTCTGCAGTATAGGTTATAAACCTCTAAACAAAAAAGGTCAAAGTTGACTTTAAATAAATGTTTGTCAAAGATGTTTCTGTCATTTCGGCTCGTTCTTATCTCACCGATGTTCCAGTGTTTCTGAGCAGTTTGGTTTGAATCAGTTATTTGATGATAAACGAGATGTTTCCTCTACTATGTTTATTTCCTGTCACTTGTGTAAGTTCATGTATTGAAGCAGCTCCTCATCCGTTTGATAAGAGGTCTCTTCGCTCTGGCTGCTGAAGATACAGAGTTTGAACCAGTCTGATGATTCAGTCTGATACGACCAGTTTATTTTTACATAAACAACCTCTCGGTGTCTGAAATGCGAGTAGATGAAATGTTTTGTTTGGGTGTGGACCGATTACAGTGACGGGGGTTGAACTCTGTGTTTGACTGTTTCATGAAGGCGTCGTGCCTCCGTCAGGTCCGTCACCAAAGCAAAGAGCCAGTTTTCAGTCTAATCCTGCAAAACCGAACCATGAGCCTCAGCCGCCGCTCGCTCGCTCCCTTCGCCCAGAGAAAATGAAAGTACATTTCTGTGTCACTCCCTCAGAAAACCTCTTGATTGCCAATCAGAGCCCAGATTGGATTTCACGCTTCATTTATTTTTTCTACAGCAGGTAATGGAGCGTTGCAGCGGTCGCATCCAACAGTGTCACAACACATCAGACTAACGTGGAGACGGTGGGGGGGTGGGGGTGGAGGTCAACTCAGGACCGTATCATCACTTCCTCCTGTTTTACTAATTCCTATTTCTAAATGTTTTTATTGATTTTTTTTAATTGTCTCTTGATGAGTCTCAACCAGAAGAGTTTCCAAATGTTCCCTCGTCTACTTCAGCTGCTCCTGATGCCCAAAGCCCTTGAGCAACGCACCAGGCAGAAGGTGAACTCAGTAAATATCTGTGACGAGCACACATTTTGTTCTTCTTCAGTAAAACACGCCAAGTCTCTTTTTTGCGATTTTTGAATCTGTCATCCAATGAAAATCATCATCTCAGTCCGATGCGTTTCATTATTTCATTGGCTGAAGGAGATCACAGGTGTGGAGCAGCCAGGATCTGAGCGCAGGTGAAAGTTTCACAAAATCTGATCGAAAATTCTTTTCTTCTGAAAGTTTGCTTGGAAAAACTAAAGATTTACGAAATAAACCAAACTGACTCTGGTTTCACGTTTTCAAGATGAATATTGATTTCTCTCTTTATATGTTTATAGCAATCGTTTGTCTTGTTTTATTTCCCGCTGGCTCCTGTTGATGTGTCGGGTCTAACGGACATCGACGTCGCTCCGTGTGTCTGATTGAACAAACTTTTGAAGCAGAGAGGAAGCTGACTGTGTTGCAGATCAGTATCTGCTGGATCATATCGAGTTAACATCGATGTCCTCCGCTCGCTCCAGGATTATCTCTGTCCTCTGGGTAACTTTGAGGAGGAACGCTCAGATTTAATTTAGGGGACAGGAAGTCTGGTATAAATACGATTCGATGACGTTCGAGAGTGAAAAACACACACGACCATCACAGAGCGCTCGGGCGTCAATCCAGAGGCGTCTGCTTGGTCTGTACTATCATTTCCATCAGGTGAATTATGTCAAACTCTTCGGGCTGTGCTGCTGTGAAATATTCATGCTGTTGTGTTAGTGCAGCACTTCAGAAACTTCTCCGAGATGTCAACACTGCTTAATGGCAACACAACAGACCATGAATGATTTAGGACGTAGAAGAAGAGGGTGGAGGTTCGCAGAAGGAGGCTGAAGGCCAGAAAAATCAATGGACTTGATCCAGGTCCATTGATTTATTCGATTTTAGGATCACAAACACACGATTATAGTTATTTTCCATGAAGCACAAAGTTATTTACTGAATGTCACAGCCTCTCAGCACCGGTCAGGATGAGCCTCTAACAACCAGAAAAGATTTTCCACTGGTGGCGTTGACGATTAGAGACGTGGCGACGCGTGAACCGGTGGTTGTTGTTGTGCGATGCTGCAGCTGGTTGAACTCATTCAATGTGGCTCTGCATCATATATCACAGCAGGGTGGTTAACTCCAGACCAACTGGAGCACAGCCAGGCTGTAGTACAAGATTTAAATACCAATCTGTGTGTGTGTGTGTGTGTGTGTGTGTGTGTGTGTGTGTGCGTCAGGAGTCAGGATTAAACTGTGTGAAGTGAATATTTGAGCTAACATGATGTAAAGTGAGTTTTAATACAACCTGCTCCTGTATCATAGTCTGTAAACAAAGATGGGCGACGCTGCCATCTTGTGCATTCAGAGTCAGAGTCACTGAACATTTTTAAAAAACATTCTTTGTTCAAACTCATTGAGGCCGAGACAATAAGAAACCTTTACAAACTGCTCCGCCCCAGTCCGCAGAGGAGACTAACACTTTACACTTCACCAGTCTGAGCGTCTCACCCACTGACCCGCAACTCACCACCACACCAGATGTGTTGTATCTGAAACATTAGAGCGAACACGGAGGGACTCGCAGGTTATTCCCATTTTTCTCCAGGTTAAAGGAAACTTACCACAGTTTAATGAAACCTGATAAAAGCAACTTATTTAAAGTTAAAGTAGAGATGTAGCTCCCTCTAGTGGGGGTGATGAACCCCTGCCTTTTAAATATGATCTGATACAGATGTTACTGTGTTTTAAATATGATCTGACACAGATGTTACTGTGTTTTAAATATGATCTGATGCAGATGTTACTGTGTTTTAAATATGATCTGACGCAGATGTTACTCTATGTTCATGTGTTTATTTCTCTCTCTGCAGGTTTTTAATCGTCCTGGGATGTTTGATTCTGGCCATTCTGACAACATTCAGGGAACATGAGAAGGTGTCTGCACACTGGCTGGTTATTCTGGTGAGATGACTCAGATTTATATTCTCTATGATTTTATACTGAAGCCATTTAGAGTCTGTATCTGGTTCCTGCTGTGATCTTCATTTCAAACATGTCTGTCTTTCCCCTCGTCAACCTGAACACATCACCGTGTATGTTTTCATGACACTCTGCTTCAGCTGAGATGTGAAAAGGTTTGAGATCGGTCTGAGATTCTGGTGCGTGTGCGACATCTAGTGGCTGTGAAACTTTTAAACTGATATTTACAAAGGTTCAGATTTGTTCTTGTGAAACATCAGATGACTGAAAAACACGTCTCAGCTTCAAAGTTCAAAGTTTGTCCTCTTTGATTTTGTAACGTTGAGCGCTTCCTTCACTCGTCTTCCTCCTGATTTGTCTCCCCACACAGGAAACCTTCGCCATCTTCATCTTCGGAGCGGAGTTTGCACTGAGGGTCTGGGCGGCGGGATGCTGCTGTCGCTACAAAGGATGGAGGGGAAGGCTGAAGTTCGCTCGCAAACCTCTGTGTATTCTAGGTGAGGAGGAGGAATCATACAAATACTGTGTAAAATGGATTTTTTTATCCAGTTTGAAGTCACTTTTTAAAACTTTTTAGATCTTGGTTTTTAACTCAGATGAAGGATTTCAATCGTCAGAGGAACACTGATTTATTTTTAACATGGAGCTGCTTCATTCAGTGTTTTTGTTGGATTGTATCAGGAATCTTCAAGCTGACCAGCAGCTCCCATGATCCCGCGCTGCTTTATGACATCACCAAACTCTGTCTTTTTCGTTGTTTAGATTGAGGCCGACAAATAAGTGTTTAGCACCACTTAATGTACAGACTTTATAGAAGTGATCCAACAATGAAATACAATAACCCGAGTGTCACTATAATCTGAATCATGAGTCAGAGGGACGATGTGTGTCGGAACTCATTCGACGTCCGACAGGTCAGACTCATTAAACATGTGATTCGTAGAGATTCTGTGACACGTGACTCCGCCTCCCTTCCTTCTGTCTCAGACATCTTTGTGCTGATTGCCTCTGTGCCGGTGGTGGCGGTGCGGAACCAGGGCAATGTGTTGGCCACGTCCCTGCGCAGCCTTCGCTTCCTGCAGATCCTGCGAATGCTGCGCATGGACCGGAGGGGGGGGACCTGGAAACTGCTGGGCTCCGCCATCTACGCACACAGTAAGGTAGGACCAGACTTAGTTTGCTGAGCTCCAGATGAACAAGAGAAAAACTGCTGAGAGCCAAAAGGCTTCAAGTAACAGGTGAAGGTGAGGAGGACGAGTACAAGTGTGTGTGTGTTTCTGCAGGAACTCATCACAGCCTGGTACATCGGCTTCCTGTCTCTGATCCTGGCGTCCTTCCTGGTCTACCTGGTGGAGAAGGACGACGTCTCCATGGATGTGTCCAATCAGGAAAACCCCACCGCTCAGCCCAAGCAGCAAGACTTCGACACCTACGCCGACGCTCTGTGGTGGGGGCTGGTGCGTGTCCATCATCTTATCGAAGAGCAACATTATTTAGGAACAAATCTTTGCTCACTCGCTGTCTGTAGATTTATTTCATGAAGTTCTTTATGTGCTGGAGCCAAACTTGTCCCACAGCCAAGTCCCACTGAGCCATGACCAGTTGCCACTTCCCCCGCCAAAATATTCTGGATTCAAACGCTGCCATCTTGTGGTGGTGATTTGGAGCCAGCGTCTGTGCAGCAGTGATCAGACTCAGTGTGGATATTGTCCATCGTTATCTACAGTCTGATCTTGTTCATTTTTTTCACTGGTAAGTTCGGTAATTTCCAGTTCAGAGACACCGAATATGAAAAATCTCATGTGATTATTTCACTGAACGAAAAGAAATAAACCTTAAATATGAAACGACTTGTTAAATGGTTGAGATTTGCTCTTGAGCTGAAACTGTAGTTTGTGGTTTTGGCTGCAGCTCGATGAACAGATTGTTTTTCTGGACGAATGATCAACTGAAAACGTTTTGCTGTGATGTGAATATAAAAGATTTCTGCCCAAAAAACTGGATTATCATTTTTATCCGCTGATATTTTCATGTGTCGAACGTTAGATCCAAACTGGAGCAGAAATAATAAAAGCTGTTGGTGGAACAGTATCAGGAGATCAGGATGCAGGATGACCTCATTAAAACCGTCCTCCAGTTCAAGTTCAGTTCAAGCTTGGTGAAGGCAAAGGTCCGCCCCGCTGAAGTGTCCTTGAGCAACAAAGCCGGATGGCTGATGATGCCTCGGCACAGTTAAGCCTTCAGCGGATTGTCCCGGGGGTCAAAGAGCAGAGCGACATGGACTCTGTGTTGTGTGGATGTTACTGAAACATTAAGAAGTCGATCTTTTTTGTCTGTTTCCGCTGCAGATCACTCTGACCACCATCGGTTATGGAGACAAAACCCCGAAGACGTGGGCTGGGAGACTGTTGGCCGGCACCTTCGCCCTGATCGGAGTGTCCTTCTTCGCTTTGCCTGCAGTGGGTTCACTCTGCTGTCTCTGTCCCGTCACTGCTGTGCTGCCGGCGTCTAAATGAACTCGCCTGACTATCGATGAATTTGCTGACAAAAGTTTTCTGCTAAAGAAAAGATCGGACATTCGTCATGAGGCAGCAAATGTTCAGTTCCTGTCTGTTTGTCTTTCTGCAGGGGATTCTGGGATCAGGCCTGGCTCTGAAGGTCCAGGAGCAGCACAGACAGAAGCACTTTGAGAAGCGCAGACATCCGGCCGCCGGCCTCATCCAGGTGAGGCGCTTCTGAGACCGTTCAGAAAAATGTTCGTAGACCCCGGCTCATGTGAAGCCAACGTGAAAGTGACCTGTATTCTCTATAATAAACAGCAGGGGGCGACGCACTAGTTTCAAGTCTTCTTCAACACAGCTGATTTTCATTGAGTCAATTATGATCATTTAGAGTCAAACAGACCAGAAAGCACATTTTAACAGTGATATTATTTTCTGTTGTGTTTCTGTCGTCAAGTCTGCCTGGAGATATTATTCCACCAATCCAGTCAGGGAGGACCTTATCGCCACGTGGAGATTTTACGAAACAGTCATTTCTCTTCCCTGTTTCAGGTAAATCAATCAATCAATCAATCAATCAATCAATCAATCAATCAACCTACCTACCCACCCTACCTACCAAACGAACCCTTTAAAATTTCTCGTAGACTCGGTGGTCAGAGGTCAAAGGTCATGGTGACCTCATATGTGCCAGTATATAAACTGTGTTTAGACTGAGACTGTAAAACCACTGGGCTGTGATT